TCTTGCACCATGATCTAAGTCAGCTAAATACAATCAACCTAAGAACGCTTTTATTTCCGTAATTGTTGTTAGCTGGGTATTGTTTTTATTTTTATATTTGACAGGCACTTCTCTAATGTAGATATTTGTAAAACTGACAATATGTTCAATAATTCCAATTAACAATAAGCTTCAAACGGTATGGGTACGTTAAAGCTGCGCTTGCTGTCAACCTCTGGCATCGAAGCGCTGGATGCTATGGCAGATATTATAAAACTATCTCGTTCTTTAGCACCGACGACTTTTTAAGATGCTTCAGTCACTAACTTCACGCAGTGTTCCACGGCTTAAGTATGACATGGAAATGTTCCAAAGTTCCAATCTTCGGGTGTTTCACCAGAAGTAATTTTAACCCAAACTTCATCATTAGAGACTCTCTGTAACAGTGGTGGTGGTGTAATTTCGGTGTGTTTTAATAAATTAACTCAGTATAGTCAGTCGCATGAACGTTGATTTTTGAATGTCCAAAAACCCTAATTGTTTCTGTTGTTATAGCTAATATCCTTGCTTTGATTATTATTTGGAATACTAATTTTCTTATATACTTCCTGCCATCAATTATCATCCTCAGTAGCAAACTTTCTGGGTGGGAAAAAAATGCATTTCTTTCGATTACAGCATCAACTACTTTAATCAAATTGTCTGGTAGAAATCTGGTTGATTTGATAACCTCAAAAACGTGTTCAGGTTCATCTGTTATGTATTTGCTGTTCTTTATTTTGAACCATACAGGCATATATGATTGAAGAATAAAGGATACTAACAATTTATGTTCAACCGAAGGCGTTTACATACTTACATACAGTCTCACAACTCTGTTAGCTGTAGTCAACCAACTAGAGTGGGAAAGTGGACCCGGTTCTCGACCAGATAAGTTCACAGGGCAGTTGCCTGACTTATATCTTAAAGATATTGTTGATCTTTACTTCAAAGATTGCGATTCATGTCCAGTAATTCACAATCAACACTTACAAAATCAACACCGCCAAGGATTTGAAATAAATTCAGGAACAGAAACTCGTCGAAATGCAAAAGGCATATTGCCCACTGCAGAGGACTTTTAACGTTTTCTTTAATATAACGAATCACACCATTTTTCCAACCCGTGTTAGTAACGGTACCGTCACAATCCATTACATCAAGTTTATCTAAAGAAATACCACCTTCAGTCGTATGAGAGGTAATACTATATGTAATATTTTAAGCAGATCCACTTGAATGTGTGACGTAGCTAACATAAATGGATCCAGGTTCTTATTATTGTATAATGTTTTTCTTCTGTTGCGCTTCTAAAATGTTTTTTGTTGAATTTCTTAATTACAAGGGTGTTATACTTCCTTCCATCGAAGTAAAGACCATGGAGTGGTTTGCGTTTCTCTGTGCTCTGGTTTTAAAGTTTTCTGCGTTTACATTTTCTTCCTCTTCTTATTTTATATTTATCACAACATGGGAGTGGTCATCATCAGTTATGATACCCATATCTTTTAGCACGCTTGAAGCTACAGCAGCTGCTGCTCTATCCGAAACACCAAAGCGCTCACAGGCCAAAGCAGTGTTCGTCATTATTATGCACATTTGCCAAGATTTCTTCTTAAGCTTAGTTACAGCCTCTACAGCTAAAAATGTGTTCTAATTTCTTCATTAAATTTTCTTTCATGTCTTTTATTTATTTTCTTTGTTTCTTTAGCATCAACACCTCCGATTTGGCCTTGTCTGAACTGTCTTTAGAAATACATGAATTTCAATTCAAGTGTCGGGATTTTCTTTGATTTTTACAACCACAAAACATTAATATAGGGGATTCACATGCAGATGCCTCAGCAGGAACCTTTTAAAAGCTGCAGATGTATGTCATTTCGCACTTACATGCGGTTATGTCAAACAGCAAAAGTTAATTTGTCTTAAATTCTGCAACCTTTTTCTGAAAACGTTCTTTTTTTATCACATTTAAACGATTTTATCAACTTACGGTAACTATCATGGTAAGAACATATTAGTTGGACGATTCTGTAGGTTGTCACAATTGGTATGGTAGCTTTATCATACAAAGCTTTTACCTTAGGAGCCACAAGAATTTCAACATTACTAAAACTAATAGGCTTATTTGTCTCTAAGGCGATGTTATGTTGTTCATCATAACAGCAGCAAAGAACATCCTCGTACGTCGGAATCTTATTCACGGGCAAGTCTTTCGGTGGACGGAATAGTGGACACTCAAACTCACTTATAGTTACCTTCTTAGAAACAGACATAATTTGATGCAATTTTGAATTAGGTAACTATGTCAAAAACACGGCGATGCTTACTTCTGGAACATTAATACAACATAGCCGCTGTACTGTACATCAGAACACGAACTGGGAATGCATTGCGGGCTGTGTTGGAAGAAGTTGGGTAGTAGGGATAGTAGGGGAAATGTGTCGAATTCAAGGCCATCACACGCAATACGACGCTAATATAACACCCAACACAACATACTAGACCACACCTTATTTTAAGGTGCAAATATGTGAATTTTACCATTTTTTAAATATCTTGCGTTACTGCAAATTAAACGATATTGTCTGTTTTAAATTTATATTTTATGCATTAAACTATTACCTAAACAATTTTCACTATAGCACGTTTAAATATTATTTGCTAAAGATATTAAAAGTATTTGAAAAATTTCTTGATTTCTAAAAAATCTAAATTTTAGGTACGATGCACTAGCTGGGGGTTCAATATATACCTTTATTCTACTTTGAGTTTTACTTAAATACCCCAAGGGCAAGTTTTCCGCGCTATAGTGATTAAAAAATGAAACAATATTGTTTTTCGATTTACCCTAACTACGAATTTTTTTAAAAATCTGGACTCGAAACAATGAAGTGGCGGTGATCTATTGTAGAATGACATCGTTTGCCCAATTCGATAAAAACCAAGAATAAACCGAAATATTTTTTTATTTGACGCGCAAAATATCCTAAAGCAGCATCTCGATCAAAAGAATACCGAAGAATTATGCATCTGTGATATATAAACAAACTTTAAACAAATATACATGAAACATATTCTTTAATACATACGAAAGAAAATACAAATGCTACAATCTGACTGTGAAAAGTTCAGTGAATCATTGACAGTTTATCATATTCTTACACAATATGTACAGTATAAGTTATTGCAAACATTTATGTTATGGTATACAAGCTTGTACGAATGTGATGATCAGCCTAACTAAAACTTCTTCAGAGTGTACTAATTTTCTGAAAGAATAAAATTTATACACAAAATTTAATATGTTTTTCTTTTTTTCAATACTTTGTACCATTGTAGAATATTATGTTGTTAATATATATAAGCAACGGATATTCTTAGATATGTAACTATCTAACAATTGGTGTTGGTTTGTTATTTGTGCGTACTTTATTTAATTTCCTTTAGCTTAGTTAATAAAGTTATCTTTCAAATTAACGTTTCATCGATCCGCTAGTTAATTGAATAATAGAGTTTGTCCTGTCATCCAAGTTTGTGTTTACCTTTGGCACATAATTAGCATAGATTTGTTACAGAGCAAATAACTTCATTTGCCCCCTGCTAATATCTTTGTTATGTATGTAGTGCCGCAGAATCAAAATGTTCTTTTCTATTAAACAAAGTACAAAGCCGTATTTACCTTCTAGCGTTTGCCTGTCATACATTACCAACGAAATTGTTTGATAATTGAAACTGTTCGATTTTACTTTGGTTTGTAAGTTTCTTTAGTTTGTATTCAGATTAACAAACGTTTTGTATCAGCAATGTGGGCTGTCGACAAGAATAGAGAAATAAGAAGTTTAATATTATAATATATTACGAACAAAGATATAGTTAAATGCTTTTGTAAGCATTAATTTTTAACTTTAGAAATGTATTCTGAAATTGTGGCTAATCAATACAAGTGACAACTAGGAATATTTTGATTATTTATTTTTTGTTACAACTTATATCAATCAAAAAAGGAAAAAATTAACATCAGAAATAAAAAAATACGAAGAATGTGAATATTATGTAGAGTAAAATCAAAGATTCTGTTAAAAAAAACCAGCAAGAAAATTAGAAGAAGCGTGGGTTTGACTTTGCGATTGTTATCGCTGCGGACTGCTATTCTCTAAATGATGCAAAAACTGATGATTTTTCGTGCATACTTGACACCTAAACAAATATTTACAGGAAGATACAATGTGCACATTACTTCAACAACTAAAACATAGAGATGTGGATTTAACAAATTTATTTCTTTCCTGTGAAAACAAATTCAAAAATTGTTGGCATCTATATATGAGTCGCTCAGAAGCAGAGTGGCCCAATTGATTTTTTTGTATAATTCAGGTAGGTAGTACAATAGGTGGCATTTTATCATATCTTTCATTTCAGAGTGGCTCAACTAATATTTCGTTGTATACCAAGAGATGGCGCAACTTGTACAGTTAGGCTACGTAAACATTTCACATAATCTAGTTATGGAAACGTGGCCCAAGTGACAGTTGAGCCAGTGTGCAGTATGATATTTTAGACATTGTCACTCTTGCCTTGTGTGTTTGTATCAGTCTTGTCTAGCGTTAATTCGTTCTTTAAAGTACTATCAGCCTTTTATACGGTTTATGTTTGTGCAATCTTGAGCATCGGTGAGAAAATTATTGTATTTTAGTGTAAATTAATAGGATTGTAAATATCTCGGCTCAAAATTTAAATTAGGATTCTAAATTTTTTAAGATTATAACCTTAAAATTTCTACTTAGCAGCAGGCTAGTTTTCTACTGAGACATATTTTTATAATATTTATGTTATGTTTATGGTTTTCTAAGCGATGTTGCCAAAAGTATAGGTTAGTCTTTAACTTGAAGATATTTGTAAAGGATTTTATTCAAAAGTTTTTTAAAGACATTTGATCACTTAAATGAATAATTAATAGAGAATATTTTTGTTATAGTTTGGAAATGCCGTTGTCGGATATATCCAGTACTCGTGAACCCAGTGAATTTAAAACAGATTCTGGCTCTGACTTCCATCCACCTTCTGATGCTGAGTCTTCTACAACTAGGGAAAGCTTCACAGAAATTGGACTTGTGGAACCTGGATCAAGTAGGGGTAAAAAACGCAAGAAAAATAATTTAGTTTGGAAAAGATCTAAGTCTAAGTTGGAAAGAAATTCAGGAAAATCATATTTGAATTCTCGTGGTAGAATTGTGTCTAAGAAACAATTTTTTCATGGAGTTTGCAGCTGTCCACGAAAGTGTCATTTGTTGGTATCTCTTGAAGAAAGAAAAAATATTTTCCATAGTTTCTACAACTTATCTGATTTTAATTTACAGACTGCTTACATTAATACACAAGTAAATGTTGTCAATAAAGGTCGACATATAGCAGCTCAAAACCATAGTAAACGTCCTAAGACACGAATTTATTCATCACCGAAAGAATCAAGTGATATGGTAACTGTTTGTAAATCATTTTTCAAAAAAGCTCTACAAGTTTCAGATGGAAGGCTCACCAGAGCTTTAATAAACAAATCAATAGGTGGCGAATTAATTACTCCGTCACTAGATAAAAGAGGCAAGCACCTCCCTAAGAATAAGACAAGGGAAAACGATATTCAAAATATAAAAGATTTCATTAACAAATTTGCCAAATATACATCACACTATAGCCGCAACAAAAATCCTAATCGAGAGTATCTGTCACCTGATTTAAATATCTCAAAACTTTATGATTTGTATCTGCAAGGTGAAGAACCAGAAGTGAAGGTATCCAAATTCATCTTTTCGAAAATATTTAATGAAGATTTTAATCTTCATTTCCGTTATCCTCTCACTAACACTTGCAAACGATGTGACGCTTATAACATGAAAAAAAAGCTGTGTAGGTGTAGAAAAAATCAGAATGGAAAACAGAGAAAGAGTTACACCTGTGGAAGGCAGAAGCAGCTCGAAGTGGAATGAAGGAAGATGCAGCCAAGAATAAAGATACCACAACAGTAATTACATTTGATTTGATGAAAACTTTAGCTACTCCTAGTATTTCTACGGGAGTGGCTTATTACAAAAGACAGTTGTGGACGTATTGTTTTGGCATCCACAATCTAACGACAGGACAGATACACATGTATGTATGGCATGAAGGCATAGCCTCACGTGGCCCACAAGAAATTGGCTCTTGCATTTTACACTACGTAAAAACATATGTTAACACACCAGTTTTGATCTTGTACAGCGACCAATGCGGAGGTCAGAATCGAAATATTAAACTTGCATCTATTTGTACATACATGAGTGTCTCCAATACTTTCAGTCCCACAGTCATACATCACAAGTTTCTAGTTTCCGGTTACTCCTATTTGCCATGTGACAGAGACTTTAAAGTGATCAAAAAACAAAAACGATATTTTAAAGACATTTTTTTGCCAGACGATTGGGTGAAAGTTATTTCCAGTTTCAAAAAGAAGAACAAATTTCAGGTATTTAAAATGACCTCTGAAAAAAACTAGAGAAGTTACTTACAAACCGAAAAACAAAGAAAGCAAGATATAAAAGTAGAATGGCTTAAAATACAGTGGATAATGTTCAAATCAGAAGAGCCATTCAAAATTGATTTTAAGTATTCTAATAACGAGAGTGTATTATTTAATTGTGTTGACGTCACAAAAAAAGAACAGACGTCTTTCAGATAAAAAAAAAGACTTATACTTGGACATCCTCTATCCTGCTGGAAGACCCATAAAGCAACTAAAGTATAAAGACTTTCAGAGTCTTCGTCCTTACATTCCGCCAGTCTATCATGAATTTTACATAAACCTGAAGACAAACGTGGAGGCAGTAGATAATGATATTGGATCGGAAACAAATGAATAGGTGACCCAAGTGAAAGTTTTATGTTTTTTCGTAAAAGCTTAATAATTGACATAGTGGCCCAACTGACTTTTTTTTGTAGAAAAAAAGATTTTTTTTGTTAATTTTTTGCTCAATTCTTTATTTGCCGATATCTCAAAACATCAATTTTACACTTAGGCCACTCTGCTTCTGAGCGACTCATATTATGTATATATATATATATATATATATATATATATATATATATATATATATATATATATATATATATATATATATATATATATTGTAATGATATGTAAAATCGAGAAAAATATTAGTTTGCTGAAAATATTTCAAAGTTACAAAAAAATTAAAATAATTCAGATAAGTAGGATAATAAACAACAAACATTTCGAAGAATAAAAGTCTTTTAATTTTGGATTACCTGTATTAAACAGAACGTAATATATGCATAAATTATTTTCTTTGTAAAATATATTTTAGTGACGTGAATGGGCTGAAGTGAAATCCTAGACAATGGATGCGGGTGTTCCAAATAAATTTGTGCAGCAATTAGAACAATAGAATAGATTTTAGAAAGATATGTTTTTGTTAGTTCATAAAAATTTGTAGAAAAAGATTAGTTGTAAATAAGTTTTAGGAAATTTGATAATTGTAGGTAAAAATTTGTTGTGTTATCGAAATGAAGAAATGGGAGATGTATGACGCGTTTTGATTGGATGAGATTGAAAAAGGTGGGATAGTTGGTTTGAGAATAAGACGTTAGTTAGTTTTGGAAGAAAAAAATGAGAGTCAGTTGGTTTCCAAGGGTGCAAGGCGAACGGCCGTTGTTCTCGGGTAGTTTCCCAGAGGTAGGAAGCAGTAGCAGTGAAAGTTTGTGAGTTTTCGTGTAGTTAGTGTATCTGACAGAAGCTGATCCAGTAAAAGATTGCAAGTTATATTTTCTACTTATATTCAAAGAGTCACTGTTCAGGCCAACGAGAGATTTAGTTTATCGCAAAGAGAAGATATTCCAAGAGTCATTTTTCACTCAGGCCTACTAGAGATTCAGTTTATTGAGAGGTAAAGAAGCTAGAATAATTTAAACGATTCATGCATTTGAAGGAGATCATCAAGGACGATAAACTTGCAATAATTTGTTATAAGATTGCTGATTACCTAGGGAGCTGCTAAGAATAGATAGTGTAGGCTACAAGGAACAAAGATTTGGACCAGTCATCATCATAGAGAGATAGTTTTGTTTTTCTGCAGTTTTTCTTTCGTTAATAACACAATTTTTACAATTACTTTGGAAAAGATATAAATATTTTGATTAGGACATTTAGAATAATAATTGGGATTTTGAAATTTTAGCTTATATTGTTTGTACCATTAATTTTGAAGGTTCACGTACGTAGAACAAAATTTTGAGAATCATTGTATGAGATATTGTTTATTGAAAACATTTGAGTGTGAATTCTATTTCATTATTTTTATTTCAATATATTATAATGTTAGATCCTATATGTTTTTTATTATTCCGATATTTTTTGAACCTTACCTTTCACATGTAATAGCATAGATACTGAAACACGAATATAACCCTGAGATAAGAGAATTAAAAAGTGTGATAGAATCATAGTCATATAATTTAAATAATTTTAATTAATTAATTAATCAGCTAATTAATTGCTTGGCGCACTAAAACTTTATATATCACAATACTATATATATATATATATATATATATATATATATATATATATATATATATATATATATATATATATATCTAATGCTCTCTGCACAAAATGCATGATTTACTATAAACATTTGTGTCACGTCGAGATTCTGCGGCGTTTGTAAGTAATGCTACTTTAGATGCGTTTCTTTTAAAATTATTATTGTCACTAGGTTTTGCGTTACATTCAAATATGTTTAAATTATCTAATAAATTATATCGTTTTTGCAAAAATATCTATTATACTGTTTTATTTACCACGTGTTTATTAAAATTACACATTTAGTAATTAAAGTAATCAATTAATAATATCTAAAAGTTTTTAACCACTTTTTCCTTTACACTCTCTGGCAGTTATCTATATTTGTAAAAGTAAATCTTTCAAGAAAATTGTTTGTCTTAAATTTTGTCGAATATGTCAATGAATTTTATTGTGTATTTATTTTATACTTGAAATGTACTTTTGTATTTGATAAAATTGCTCTCTCTATTTTAAAAAATGTATTTTTCGTTTAAATTCGTGCTCTTGTGCTATCATTCTTTGAAGTTGTTTTATCTACTTTTGATAGAAATTCAAACTTTTAAAAGTTAAATTGTTTTTGCTATTTTTTATGGATCTATCCGTACATAAAAGGATACGTTATTTCATGCTATCATGATATCTGCTGATCTATGGCTTTAAATCCCGCATTTAACTTCTACCCTCACAACCGCCGGATGTATTGATTTTTAGAACTGAATTGTGTGGTGGCAGTCTTCTAAGTGGCTACCAGATTTTAATATTATTTGTTGGGGTAAAATAAACATGGGAGGAGATATTTAGGCGATTTTCTCGGAAAATGTTGATAATAATATTTTACTTTTAAAAGTTAAGATAGACAAACTCTAATTAAAATATTTCCTATTAAATTAGCAAACTTTTAACGTTCTACTTGTTTTTCTGTTTTAATAGGATCAATTCCAATCGACCCTAAAATTCAAACAAACTGCCCTGTCAGGGATGTGACTTCTAAAGTTGAATCTAAGATCTATTCGAAGCTTAGGTTTTATCACGGGATATCCAATAAAACTTTCTCGGTCGTATAAATTTCTCCCAAACATTTTTCAGCTTTACAAAACTTTTGTATATTATGGTTTAATTACTTTTTTGGGCATTTGTCTCTTTTTTGTTTCAATTGTAAAAGTTATAATAATATATCCATCGAGATGTTTTTATCGAGTATAATTTATTGAAAAAATTATTTAAAAAGGATTACAAATCGTCAAAACGTTTTCAGCCCAGTCGGACAACAAAATACCGTTGAAATTTGAATCATATGGATCAGAATATTTGTTCTCTGGGTGGAGCAAGAAGGGTTCTAGCATCTGAACGCAAAAGAGAACGATCAGGAACTTCTTCATGAATTTTTACTTGGTAAAGGACAAAGTTCCGCTACATAACTTATTAGGAAAATTAAAAACATCTCCATAAGGTTATCCAAAATTCTCGTTACAACCATGTTTAGACACTTCTTCAGATTCATTAAAAGAAGAGCTTTGTAAAGGATCACCGGAATAGTCGTCCACGTGGTGAATTTGGATTATTTTAGGTACTTAACATGATGTAAAATGATGCGTCGTAAATTTGACGATGCTCAAAATACATTGGGTATTTTCGCCCACTCTCGTTTATTTTAACGATTTTCCCTTCCTTTTGAATTGAGTACCTTCCTAAATCGTATAGAGCTTGATAGTGTCGCACACGGTTGTCATAATTTTTAATTCTAAGACCATATTTCGTCCTTTGGTTCCTAATTTTTACTAAAGTCCTGTGTTTACGTCATATAATAAATCAGCTGGTTCTTATAGTTTGTATTTTGATTTTGAGTGTTTTAGTTACAAAAAATTAAGATAGATTGTTTTTTCATTCAAGAGGACAATTTGGAAGCTGAATTCATTTTTGTTCCGATAACGAGGTTTATGCGAAAACATCTCCAGATATCAATATATAATTGAGTTAAGTATTTGTCTTGCAAAACTATAGATGCTAAACAGATACAACACTGCAGGTTTACGTCGAAATATTCGCCAAGACAAAGCTGAAATCCTCAACATAACTGAAGGAGATGATGAAAATATGGCCAAAAAAAAAGACTTATTTCTACTGTCCAAGCAACAAAAGGCGCATGACCACCAACTATTGTAAGGAGTGGAAGAAGCCAATTAACGGAGAACACCGACGAGATATTTGTACCGAATGTTCCTAAAACTACTTAAATATGTTTGTTTTATAATTTTATACTTTTGTAAGATATACTAAGAATCTTAATTGTTTTCTATATAATGAATAAAAAATTCAAAGGAAAAAATATAGGCTTTTTTCTATGGAGTAGTATTCTAGTCCCGTATTTTAGAATTAATAAAAGGTTGAAATCGAAAATATAGTAACCTGAACTATTTGAACTAAAACTCTTATCAAAATGATCATTAGGGATTCTGAAGAAAGGTTTCAAGAAAATTGAATATTGGGGTTATTAAAATTTTCAATGACAATGGAAATTTATATCATTTTTCCAGTTGTTCATCTTCGAAGAGATGCCTTCAACCTTTAAGATTCATCTTGTTGATAAAAATGATATTTTTGCCTTTAGCAAATTTATGTCACTAAGTGGTGACTAGAATAATAAAACAATTGTAACAAATTAGCTAGAAATTAAAGATTTTTAAACTTTACCTAAAAAAAAACGTGTTTTGAATATTAAACTATCCAATTTTTAATTAATTATGATTTAACGTTTTCGCTTTTAACTATTTTATTAACGTAAATAATTTTTTATTCTATTGAAATATTTAAATACGTTATATCTTAAAATTAGATTATTACGCTGCTACATATTCTCCACATTGCTGTATGGTATGGAGAGCTGAACCCTTACAGAGACATTAATAAAAAAATTAGAGGCCTTTGAGATGTGGATTTATCGACGAGTATAGCGGATAAATTGGGTTGATCGAATAAGAAATGAAATAGTTTTACATCGAATAAAAAAAAGCACAGAAATAACAAAAACGATAAAAATTCGGAAGTTACAATATTTCGGTCATGTAATGAGACATCCAGAGAGGTATAACATTCTACACCTCATAATACAGGGTAAGATCGACGGAAGGAGAGGCCCAGGCCGACGAAGAACATCCTGGCTACGAAATCTCCGAGAATGGTATCAAGAAACCATCTTTAATTTATTTAGAGCCGCCGTGAATAAGGTTATTATTGCCAATATGATCGCCAACGTTCGATAATCGGACAGGGCACTGAAAGAAGAAGAAGAAAATTGAAATATTTATCCCATAATTTCATAAATGTCGGACGTCCAGAAAACGTCCATATTTATATTATATGTATATATATATATATATATATATATATATATATATACATATATATATATATATATATATATATATATATATATATATTATATATATTGTATATATATATATATATTATATATATATATATATACATATATATATATATATATATACATATATATATATATATATATATTATATATTGTATATATATATATATTATATATATATATATATATATATATTATATATATATATATATATATATATATATATATGTATATATATATTAATGTGATATTAAAAGTCTGAGGTGAGCCAAGCAATTAATTAGCTAATTAATTAATTAATTAAACTTATTTAAATGATGCAATTATGATTCTATCGCACTATTTAATTTTCTTATCTCAGGATTATACTCGTGCTATAATATCTATGCTTTAAATATGATAGGTAAGGTCCAAAGAATACCGGAATAATAAAAAAATATATGATACAACATTATATATTGAAATAAATTTCACACTCAAATATCTTCAATAAAAAATACCTCATATAATGATTATCAAAATTTTGTTCTACGTACGTGAACCTTCAAAAATTAATGGTATATAAAATATAAATTAAAATTTAAAATCAAAATTGTTGTTTAAAATCTCCTGATCAAATTATTCCTATCTTCTCTTAAGCAATTGTTAAAAAAATGTGTTGTTAATAAAGAAAAACTGACGAATTATAAAACTATCTCTCTGATGACGAGTTGTCCAAATCCTTGTCCCTTGTATTCTACACTATCTATTCTTAGCAGTCCCCTAGATCATTAACAATTTTACGACAAATTGTTGCGAGATTATCGTCTTTAATGATCTACTTCAAATGCACGTATCCTTCAAATGATGAACCTCTCGTTCTGGCCTGAAAAGTGACTCTTGGAATATAAGTAGAAAAATATAACTTACAATATTTTACTGGAACAGTTTTTGTCAGATAAACTTACTCCACGAAAACTCACAAACATTTACTTCTACTGCTTACTACCTCTAGGGAACCACCAGAGAACAACGACTGTTCGCCTTGCACCCTTGGAAAAACAACTGATCTTTTTTTGTCCCACTTTTTTCAATCTCCTTCAATCAGAGTTCGTCACACTTATTCCCATCTACCATTTAGATAACAAACAACAATTTTACCGACAATTGTAAATTTCCTAAAAACTATTAACATGCTAATTGGTATCTACAAATTCTTAAGAACTAACGGAGAATTATATTTTCTAAATATTGCTATTCTATCGTCTTATTCACTGTATATCGACTTACAAATCTATTTGGAAAAACCGCTCGCATTGTTCTCTATTTCACTAAGCTCACACACGTCACTCGAATATATGAATATATTTTACAAAGAAAATAATTTATATCTTTGAATTTTGGTTACTACAGGTAATCCAGGTTAATGGACTTTCATTTTTTCAAAATATCTTTTATTTTGTACTTTAAAATATATTGAAGGTAAACCAATATTATTTTCAATTTTACATATCATAACAATATATATATATATATATATATATATATATATTATATATATATATATATAATATATATATATATATATATATGTATATATATATATATATATATATATATATATATACATATATTTCAAATTATTTTCGACCGTTCTGTGCCAAGTATTGATTTATAGTATCAGCAATTGGTCTGTTACTACAGGTAATCCAGGTTAATGGACTTTCATTTTTTCAAAATATCTTTTATTTTGTACTTTAAAATATATTGAAGGTAAACCAATATTATTTTCAATTTTACATATCATAACAATATATATATATATATATATATATATATATATATATATATATATATATATATATACATATATTTCAAATTATTTTCGACCGTTCTGTGTCAAGTATTGATTTATAGTATCAGCAATTGGTCTGTATCAAATGAAACTCAATTTGTTCTATATCTCAATATTTCGTCACGATTTTGTGACTTCTTCGTGAGAAAACTATAAATTTATTATAATAATTATTATATCCAAACAAATTGAATATTTCAGTACTTACAGCTATAAGAGTAAAAATTTAAATTTTGATAACATATCTACTTAAATGACATTTTTGATTTTAATTGAGAATGACTTCTTCGCAGTTTCGGTGGTGGAATGTGACTCAGAATGGGAAGCCAATAGTTCGGTGTGGGTCTAATTTTACTTAAGATCATTCGCATTGTCTGGTTTAATTGGATGTCAATAATCTTCGTGTGTTTGCTATTGAGCCATACCGGGGAAGCATATTCAGCCACCGAGTATAAAAGTCTGAGAGTGGATGATCTGAGTACGGAGGCTGAGGACCCCCATGTAGTGCCACATAGCTTTTCTTCTTCTTCTTCAGATGCAAATCCACTAATGGATGTTAGCGATCACATTTTCCATTAATTCTCTATTTCTTGCAATATGTATCAGAGATTGTATGTCGTTAATCCCTGTCCATTGCCTTATGTTTCGGAGCCAGGACATTTTCTTGCGTCCCATTCCTCTCTTGCCTTCAATTTTAGCCTCGATTATAAGTTGGAGGAACTGGTATTTTTCATTTCGCATGATGTGACCTAGATACGCCGTTTTCCTTTTCTTGATGGTTTCGAAAAGTTGGCGTTCTTGGTTTATTCTTTTACATAGCTTTTGGACTATATTATTTCTTGTTTTCAGTTTTGCTGTCGTTCTTTGAAGATGTTCTTTAAAACTTAATGTTTTGTCCAGAGTCACTCCAAGATATTTTGGTGTTAAGTTATGAGTGAGCAGTCTATTTTCGAAGTGGACAGAGAGTTTTTTGTCGGCTTGGGAATTATTCAGATGAAAACAGCACACTTCGGTTTTCGTTACATTGGGCGGTAGCCTCCATTTGCGAAAGTATTCTCCCATAATGGCAAGGTCATCCGGTAATATTGTTTCTGTGATATCCATGTTATTATGTCTTGCTGTAATGGCCCAATCGTCAGCGTAGTCAAATTTTTGCGAAGTTGTCCTAGGTAGGTCCGCGATGTATAAATTGAACAGTAAGGGTGCCAAAACAGATCCCTGTGACAGTCCAATGCTGAGCTTCATTTGGAAACTTTTAGAATTGCCCATTGTGACTTGAAAAGGTCTGTCGGTGAGCATGTTATCAATGAGTTTAGTTAACTTTTGACACGGGACGGCACGGATTAGTTTGCAGATTAGTCCTTGTCTCCAGACAGTATCGTATGCAGCTGATAGGTCAATAAAAGCAACGGATGTTTTTTGCTTTCTTTGAAAACTAGCTTCAATATGTGTTGTTAAGGATAGGATATGATCTGTGCAGCTGCGGTTAGGTCTGAATCCTGCTTGCTCAATAGGTATCAATTTAAATACGTTTCTACTAATTCTACTAATTCTACTTTCTACTAATTGTAGATATAGACACAGCTCAGCAAAGCAATCGGTCGGTAATTATGAGACTGATTATTTGCCTTTCCTGGTTTTAATATGGCTATAATGAAGTTTTTTTTTAGTGAATGGGGGATTTCTCCTGATTTTAACATACCTGTATAGAAATCAGCCAGCCATTTCTTAGCATATTGGCCACAGTGAAGTAAAAATTCTGCATGAATTTTATCGGAGCCGGATGCCTTTCCAGACTTAATTTCTGATATTGTTGAAATAATTTCTTCTGGAGTAAACTCGTCAGAGTATTCAGATGTAGGCGGGCATGCAGATTTTAGTACTTTAAATTCTTGTTTGACTTGGTGTGATCACGATCTCTAGGTCTCTGGTACCCTGTTGGGAGCT